TGGTTTTGTGTGACGAAGCGTGTGTTGCGTGTGCTCTGCTGCGCTGTGGGCAGTGTGTGGTACTGCCTTCTCTTTTTGCCGCTTTGGATTTGAGGACATGCGTTTCCTTATCGCGGCTGGGGCGCATGGCTCTTAGACTACGACTCCTCGCGTGCCTTTGGGGCCCGCACGGACAGGATTGGGAATGCGGGGTTCCTGGAGTTGTTTTCGAGCTCCTTTTGGCCCAGTGCGAACGACTCCCGCCGCGCAAGCGATGGCGGCGAGGAGGAGGGCGCATTCAAGCAGCCATGGCGGCGTTGCTGCTGTGGGCTTAGCTGCCGTGTGTTCTTTTATTTGCCGTCGTGAGGTGCAGGGGCGGGCGGCGCTGAGGGAGGCGCAGCGTGCGGGGAGGCGATGGGGGACACGCCGCGGCGCGCAGCAGAGGCGGGCGAGGGAGGACCCCGCAGTTTTTTAGATGTGCGCGGCGTTGGATGGCGGGAACCTTCCCTTTGGGCTGCGTTTTTTTTTCCTTTCTGTTTGCTGCACTTATTGCCTCTCTCTCTCTCTTTCTCCCTCTCGTTGCTCCTTTCTCTTCCTTGCCGCCTCGTAGACTAGCCTACTGTTTCCAGTGACTCTACCACAATCACTAATACTTCTACCTATGGCGATGGAGATGACGGCGCGGTGCCGTGCGGTATGTGCTCTGGCGGTTCTTGTGCTTCTGTGCGGCTGCGGCTGCTCCCCCGTGTGCGGGGCGACGCTGGATAAGAAAGAAAGCTTAAAATACCCGCCGAAGGAGTGTAATGTGGTGGTGCCGTTCGAGGTTTCATGTGGGGGCACCGATAGCATACCAAAGCTTCGATTTCTTGGTGGCAATGATACATATAGGTTGGATTGTTCATCCTCGCTTAATGAGGATAGTTTGCATGATGATCCGACGCTTATCACTGAGTACATTGAAATGGGGTTTTGCATTGACGGCCCTGATGTGCACTTTTGTGCCGATCATACAGATGCGTTTCTTCCGTGTTTTGCGGCCAACTCAATCTACGCATCTAACAACTGTGAAGCCAGCTGTGCAGGCAAGGATGCAAATAGCACCGTGGCGTTCACAATGAATTTTTGGACATATGAAGATAGCGACCCCCACCGCATTTGGAAGAGTATGGCCACCGTCGGAAAAAGATCTACGTCAAAACCCACGGGGGGGCGTCTGTTCGTTACCGCCTCCCAGTAAAAAGGCCGGCGGCAAACACGCTGTGGTGACGGGTGAGAACCCAAGCGCTGCGGGAGGCAGCGGTGAACAAACCGAAGGTGTGCCGCACCCGTCCACGACAGAGAGACACGGGACAAGTGCCGGCGATGCAGAGAGCCTCGACAGTGAGAATGCGGTCCCCAGCACCGTCTCTCAGGGCCCCACGCCCAAGGCAACGACCGATTCCTCCGACACAGCGCGTAAAGGCAAAAAGGATACTCCGGCATCAGTTGATGCAAAGGACGGTGCTTCCACAACAGAGACAGGCATCGCCGCCCCTGCCTCCGGCTCCGCTGTTAATGTCACTGCCCCCCCCCGCTGGGAAAGGCACAGAAAGCACCGCGGACAACAGTGCAACCACCACGCCGTTTGTGTCCACACATCTACTGCTGCTGCTGCTGCTGCTCGTGGCTACCGTTGCCTGTGCTGCTGGGTAACGATGAGGGTAAACCACACACACACACTCTTGCAGGGACGATGCATACTTTTTGTGCGCTCAGTTTGCTTGTTGTCCCTGTGGCCTAACTTCTCTCTTGTGGTTCAAGGGATGATCTCTTTTTTTTTTTTTCATTTTTTGCGGGCAATAAATACACAAAAACAGTCCTCTCGTGGTTCTGGAAACGTGAAACGAAAATGCATGCAGACGTAATCTATTTGCTTTTTGTTTTGTTTATGTTTTCTGGGCATACTTCTGGATCTTCATTTTCTTTTCGTGTCAGGGGCTCTCTTGTGATTCTCCTTCTTAAATTCTTTTTTTTAAACCCTTTTTTGTTTGTGGTAAATTACTGCTGTCTACTTTTAGCTTGCGCCGCGTCTACTACTGCGGCTGCGTGTCTTTGTGTTTTGTTTGCCGCCGCTGCTGACTGTGTGGCTGACATGACCCCCCCAATCCACTTTTTTTTCCTGTTAGAGGCACCGGTAGTCTACAAAGGGGATTTTTTTGTTCCCCGTTTAGACGGCACGGGATTGACGGGGTGTGTGGCTTCTACCGCCTTCTTCCGTGGCCGTGAAGACAAAAGACAACGGGTGAGGGGGGTATGCGCTGTGACTCACTCTTTTTTTGCTTGCGAATACAAAGCACTGCGAGTGGGAGTGTGGCCTTGAAGCGCCGGGTCCTGCGCATGGTGTGCAGTGGGCTGCGGTGCGGGTGCCGCACCATTTGATGGCTGTTGGCCCACTTCCCGTGTGTGGCTGGGCGGC